TATATATATATATATATATATATATATATTATGGAAGCGCATATTAAAAAGTGCACGTACGCTCCATTGATCGAGGAACCCAATCGGACAACTAGTAAACTCTGTACTATGTTGGAATTTATCTTCGTGCTTAGCTTTTAAGCATTGCTGTGAGCATATTCCAGTACAGCTATCACAAAAGAAAAGAATATTCTTATTTAGAGAGAATATCTTTATTTTTGACATGATAAATGTCATTTACTTAAAATACAATTTATTTAAAAATTCAATTTATATAAAATTTAAAAACTTAAATAAAATGTTTCATAATGAGTCAGAAGCTACTTATTTCAATATTTTAAGCTGTCATTTATAAATTAAATGCTCAATTTGCATTGATTATACGATTTGAGTGCGCGCATTTTGAACACACAATTAATGTGGTTTTGAAGCCAGTGCAATTGTACGCGCATTAAAAGCACGTTATACGCGCTTTGGCACTCCTTGGGTACTGTATTACGTAATGATCAATCATGTATCACGTAACCAACTAATTGAATGATTATTCTGCATGCGAGTGTCGTCATTCAATTTCAACGATGATAGTAGTAGGGAGTAAATAGATACTCTGTACTATCTACAATACCTACATATACATTTACATATATATTTTATTAATGATTTATTTATGCATCTTTTCTTCTCTTATTTTTATGATTGTACAGCTAAGTTGTCGAGAAAATCACAATATTACCTAAAGTAATGTTAAGAGACACGGTAGTGTCTCGAGCCAAGTATATGCGAAGCGAGACTGCACTGTGGATCATTTACGCGACGATAATAATATCACGAAGTGAGGAGAGGGGGAATACTACACTAGGCATCGCAGTCACATTCAGTCTCAAGATCTGATTGAGAGACCACGCGAGAAGATTTGCGCAACAATGTTAAGTCGTGTCATTTTTCTCGTTTGTTGTATTTTAATGAGTGATCTCGTGAAAGAGTCGAAATCATTGTCAATTTTATTGATAGAGACTCTTCCATCGACTAGCCACCACGTCTGGACGGAGCATTTGGTTAAAGAACTGCTTCGCAAAGGCCATCATGTACATGTAGTGAGCATACATGAGACTAAGGTCAAGGGAAAACTCGCGCAGAATTTAACATACGCCGTAAGTAGATTTTAAATGAGACTCGAAGACATTCTGAGAGATATAAATCGATTATTTGCAAATCATAAAACAAATGAAAAAAAAACACAACTTTTCTATTTTAAAATGTTCTTTCGGAGATGTTAATTTGTCACATTTTCATATGTTTTCTTCTGTATAGCGTAAAGGTACTTATTATTTTCAGGTTTTCGATGGTCTAATGGATACTTATGATGAATCTAATAATTATGACCCAGTTGAATGGGAGAAGTATAGCGTATTTTATACGGCATATTTTGTATATCAGTGGGGTATTCACGCATGTGACACAATGATAAAAACTAAAACAGCGAGAGATCTTTTGAAAGTGATTAAAACAGTCGAGTTTGACGTAATAGTGCAAGACATTACTTTAACTCAATGTTTCTACGGATTATGGGAGGTAAAGCAGCAATCAACTTTAGTAAATTTTAATTGTTAAAGCTATTTTGAAACTGCATGCGACTTAGCGAAGTTGCCTTTTAAATCAAGTGCGTTTGCGTAGTAAATTGAAAGTGTCTATATAGTTATTGCTCGTATTAAGTGCTAACGTTCACAATCGCTTTTTATTATTTGTTTAAAACGATGTTGAAGTGTGATTTTATTAAAACTTTTCTGATACAGAAAATGTGAAAAAATACGTGAAATATTTCGTGGCATTCTCTGTACAGATAGGGTAATAATCGGGAATTATTAAAACTACTTATATAACTGTTATTTATATGAGTAGATAGACCGAAATGACTAAAACATTAGGAGAGATCGGGGCTATTCGTGACACATTTTTGTTTCGAAGTTTTTTTCTCGCTTCGTATAAATGTTAAAAAAATTTTTATTAGTGCGATGTAATCGTCCATTTCTCTAGTTTAAAAGAAAGAAAAAATAAGTTTTTCTCTTACAAGTCTCAAAATATATCAAGAAATGTATCGCTGTGTCATGTGTCACGAATTGCCCCGGGGCCGCACAGTGGGGAATTTCGGCTAAAACGTGGTCATAAGTCGGGAAATCATCAGAATTGCATAAAAATCGGTAGGTATATGTTTTCGAGGTCGCTGATTATGAATATAATATGTAATTTTTCAAAAACAAAATGACGGCCTTAATATTTTAGATTATATTAATAGTTTACCCTTATGCAAAAATACACTCAACTTTTGGTGTTAACCGTTAAAAAAACACCAAAGAACAACCCTTAAAGTTGGGTGTGATTTCGGACCGCCAATTGAAGGCTAACCATCATTTGAAGGTTAACCTTAATTGGCGGTCCGAAATCACACCCAACTTTAAGGGTTTTTCTTTGAATGATGGTTAACCTTCAAGTGATGGTTAACCTTCAAGTGATAGTTAACCTTCAATTACTCATACAGCACACCCTTACGAAAAAAACACCCTAAATAACACCCAAAAAAACACCAAAAAATAATAGCGTAATTTCGGATCCCCAAATGGCGTTTACACTAATTGAGCGTTAACGCCAAGAAAAACACCAAAAATGACACCGAAAATTTTGGTGGCTCAAATGGTGTAAACGCTATTTGGGGATCCAAAATTACGCTATTATTTTTGGGTGTTTTTTTCGGTGTTTTTTGGGTGTTATTTAGGGTGTTTTTTTCGTAAGGGAGTAGCGTGTCTTTTAGATCAGATAGACAAAAAATGTATTATTATCTCCTACCGTGATGATAAACACTGTATAATACCGCTTGTCAATGTATTTGAGACTGATTAAATAACAAATGGTAAAAGACATGAATATTATAATTATATAAAATACAAGTAATACATATATACATATATATATATGCATTTTAATTATATGTCACAATATTATAAACATAATTCTATATAAATCATGTTTCCTTAATTTAAATTTTTATAGCGCACCGGAACATTTTAAACATTTTTATATATATATACATATATATATATCATTATGATCTTTATACATATATTTCATAAAAAACGATATATATATATATATATATATATATATAT